GCTTAATTATTTCTGTCAAACCCAAAACATGGCTTTCAATTGTATTTGAGTTTATTCCAAGTACATGAGCTGTTACGTTTACATAACGTAAAATAGTGCAATCTGTCCATTCATCCACTGTAATAGCAAATTTACGATTTGCTGTTTTTAATTTTTGAAATTTGTCCCGCAGTTCAATAAATTTTTCTTTATAAAAGCTGTTGATGCATTTTGAAATAGTTGTCGGACTTTTTGGCATTTTATAACCTTTTTGTTGCACGTAACCAGCTATAGCTTGAGATTTACTAATCGCCGTGATCGCCATTCCATCAACAGCTGCGACTTTTGACAATATTTCATTTAAAGATTCTTTTTTTACAAATTGCCAAATAGTACTTGTTTCAGTTTTTTGTTTTTTCTTAGGAATATTATTTTCTCCATCAATTTCACTTGATACCGATTTAGACACTAATATGTTGTGTCGTAGCTTTAAATGGTTAATCATAGCAGTGGTTGAACTTTTCCATCCAATGTTTGTGTTGCATGTACCACATGTGGCTTCACCAAATTTTTTTTTCATCTTTCTTAAAAAACTTTCATACCTCGGATTTTTTTGACATGGCTAAAAAAACCAAAGATGTAAATATGTATGTAAGAAAATCTAACAAATTTTAATTTACCTGAAGTATTATTATTATTATTATTATAATTATTATTATAGAAGTATGCAAGCACAAATTGTATTATTAAAAATTATTGATTATATCGTTTTTGTTATTTTAAATGAAATGAATTTTTACAATTAAATTACGAATATTTGCTAAGCAATTTAAATAACCAACTGCTTTCTAATAACTAACAAAAATAATGTCGCACAAAATTAAAACCATACAAAAGTGCAAATTTCCCACGTCAAGGCTATATTCTATATAAAAATTCTTAGATTTGTTTTTTATTTCAGGGTTTATTTGTTTTTTCTTGTAAGAAGAGAGAAATTAACCGTACTTTTTTCAAAGCTTACTGTGATTTACATTTTTGAAATTATTCGATTGTTTGGAAAAATATTCGAATATCAAATAGTCAAAAAACATGCAAATATATTCGAATATCAAGTATTCGAATAGTCAAGTTGGATGGTCGAATCGGAACAAGCTTATCAAATAAAATTCCTTATCTTAATGACAAATCAATTAATGAGTTTATAACATCACCTAATTTAACTTTAAATTTTTCGAACCTAACATACAGCGAATTTGAAGCAGCATTTAAATCATTAAAACGGAATAAGGCAATCGAGGCATCAATGCATCCATGGAAATTTTATAATAGACTCCTTTGACGTTTTAAAAGATATACTCTTTAAAATTTGTAAAGCTTCTATTGCTCAAGGATCCTTTCCAGACTCTCTAAAAGTAGCAAAAATTACTCCTATTTATAAATCAGGTGACCATTGTAACATTACAAATTATCGTCCTATTTCAGTTCTTACGGTTTTCTTTAAAATACTAGAAAAAATAATGTATAACAGAGTCTACAATTATTTTGTTGATACTAAACTTTTATATAATAATCAATTCGGCTTCCAGAGAAACTATTCTACTGAACACGCTTTACTTCAACTAACACGCAGCATTTCTGATTCTTTTAAAAATTCTCATTATACCCAAGGAGTATTCATCGATTTGTCTAAAGCTTTTGATACTGTCGATCATGACATTCTATTAAAAAAATTAGAACTCTATGGAATTAAAGATAAATCTCTAAGCTGGTTCAAAATCTATCTTAGTAATCGTAAGCAGTTTGTTAATATCCAAGACTCTTCTTTGCCTATATTAATGAATGTAACATGTGGTTTCCCACAGGGATCCATAGTTGGGCCCCTATTATTTTTAATATATATAAATGACCTCAACAAAGTCTCTAACTTAACCACTATAATTTTTGCTGATGACACAAATTCCAAATCTCATGAAAACATAAATACACTTTTTGATAATATGACACTAGAATTAAATAAAATCTCATATTGGTTTAAGAAAAACAAATTGTCCCTCAATATTGATAAAACAAAATGGACACTTTTTTACCCAACATCCAGAAAAAAATGTTTACCTAATACACTGCCCAACCTCTTCATTGACAATACAATACTAAAAAGGGAAAAGGTTACAAAACTTCTCGGAGTTCTTGTAGACGAAAACTTATCCTGGAAACAACAAATTGATAATATCTCCTTGAAAGTTGCTAAAAGTATTGGAATTGTATATAAAGTTCATATTTTAAATAAACAACAATTAAAACAACTATATTATTCGTTTATCCACTGCCATTTAAGTTATGCAAATATTGTATGGGGAAGCGCGCACAAAACTAAACTTAAATTTCTTTATCAGCATCAGAAACACGCAGCTCGCTTAACTAATTTTAAAAATCGTTTTTCAAACTCAAAACCACTTCTGAGAGAAATGAAAGTCTTAAATGTATACGAACTAAATGTTTATAATATTTTATGTTTCATGTTTAAATGTAAAAATCATTTATCTCCTGATGTATTAATAAACCTTTATAATGTAAAACCCATAAACAAATACAATCTTCGCAATGGAAAAAATCTACAACAACCTTTCTGCCAAACTAAATTTGAACAACTAATTATTTCTTATCGCGGTCCTTATTTATGGAATAAAATAGTTTTGCCAAATTTTGATTTGTCATTGAAATGGACTTTAACTTATTTCAAACGAAAATTAAAAGAAGTTATCTTTCAGCAGAAAATATTTTTTTCTTGTTTTTAGTTTTTTTGCTTCACATATTTCATATAATTTATCCAGTATATTTATATTTTAAATGCACAGTTATATAAAGTTTATCTTGATTCTTATTGCTTAATTTGATTTTATTGTTATTATTATTATATTTGATAATGTAAAGGGCTTCACGATAAGATCGTATGATCTTCTGGAAGTCCTGCCGATTATATTTGTAATAAAGCTATTCTGTAATTTTAATTTCTTTTATTGAAGGTAAATAAATTTACAAAAAAAAAAAAAAAAAAAAAAAAAATATCACGAAACCCGGTTTGAGTCATTAAAGAAAAATCTGCACTCATGCAGATTATTTTTTGATGACACATTGTTGATATAAACCGTACAATACTAAATATAAATTATGGAAGGTACGGTCTATTATATTCTATATATATTCCATATATATTCCTTTAAAAAACGGTGCGAAGAATTAAAAATTGAAGAAAATTTATGTATTGATGAATCAATTAAACATTTTAAAGGTAAATTGATCATCAAACAGTATATAAAAGGCAAACCTAATCTATGAGGTGTTAAAACGTTTATGCTATGCGGAGCGTCTATATATACTGTGATATACTATGGAACGGTATAATATACTGTTCCATAGTATATCGAGGGTCTAAAACTCTTTCTGCACATTTGAAAGAATAAGATACCCCTAGAATTGTTTGGTAATACATATAGCAGACCGCATAGTAAGACACAGAGGCCACAAGCTGTTATGTGACAACTAATTTACATTGCTTTATGTATAGAATTGTACTAGAATTGCTCGAATAAGGTATTTTTATTGCTGGTATCATTCGCTCAAATAGTCTAGACAAAATGTCCACTAAAAGTGAAACAAGAACTGAAGAAAATTGGACGATTCTGCTGTAACTGATGACGGTAAAATTGTTGCAACTAGATTGTCCGTCAATAAATGCGTTAATATGGCATCCAACTTTGTAGGCTATGAACCAAAGGATGAAGTAAGAAGATGAGACAGTAAGGAAGAAGATTTTGTTATGGTAAGACATCCTGTAATTGTAAGAATTTATAATGTTCTTGGGTGATAAAGATAATAGCGATTAACTTTAATTGCACTGTATAAGACCTTTATAAGATCCTGAAAATGGACATTATGGGTGATATTCCATCACTTCAACTTAGCTTAATTCTTGGTTAGAATGTCAGGCAAATATAAATTTTGAGGATATCAAAGAAATCTGGGGTGGATTTACTAGTATTTATACAAGCATTGGCATTCTCAGAGTCTGCCGATTAGTTGAAAAGAAAGAGGCATACCGAATGGATCAAACTCAACCGCTCCTACAAAACGAAAATTGCTTCATTATATCCTCAAGTGACATTAAGTTTGATAACATAGGTCACAGGCCTATCCACAACAAGGGGCATGATGTAAATTAGAAACTTGTAGAGGGTGCTTACACCTAGTGCTTGAGAAATGCACTTAATCGCTCGTCGAGGAATTATTTTTAAATACTTTAAAATATAAAATAAGTCAAGAAGTTATTTTAAAATATTTCACATCAAATATTTAAATTTGTCTAGTCTTTTTTACTATTAACTAGTTATAAAATTTAACATAAAGGCCTGCTGGTGGTATTTGCCGCCACTTTTTAGATTCTATACCCTAGGATAAAACCACTTCAAATTAGGTTTTGGAGTTCCAAGTGAATTTCTAATCAATTTTTACAATAACAATTGTTGTTAAAACTTTGTAAAAATATCAAATAATTGTTCAAATAAAAAATTCAAGACTGAAAGGGTTAATTCGTATTCAGTGATTTTTGTCAACCTACTGGAAAGACTTAAAAAAACTACTTAAAAAAACCTAAAGAAAATATAACAGAAGACCATTAAAAACGTGGAAACGCTACTCCTACGTCATATCGAAATACTCACCTGCAAGGGCGCGCATACATGGACTGAAGGTACGGGTAAGCAGTGCCTACATGAAGAACATTTATACTGCAACCTTATGGTTGATAATTAAAGTAACAAAAAATAATATATATATATATATATATATATATATATATATATATATATATATATATATATATATATATATATATATATATATATATATATATATATATATATATATATATATATATATAAACTTATCGGAACAATAGCACAAATACAAAATGAGAATTTTCATTTTTAGTAATAACATCGATGTAAAATTAAAAAAAAAAACAGTTTATCGTAATAAATTTTTGATAGATGAACAACAAGCTCCACAAAGTATAAATATTATATATATAACCGTTTTTTTTTTTTTAATTTTTATTTTACAAATACTTTAAAACATCTCAAATGTTGCAACTTTAAGATACTGAAAAAATTGAGAACGAAATTCGTTAAATAATAGTAGCAAGTTCTAATAGAGATAAGATGCATCTCACTGCACTTTTAACAATATATTTTCCAATACTACCAGAGATAAGAAAATTATATTAGAAAAATGTCAGCTGATTTTCCTAAAAAAGTAGTTTAACAAAATTACTTCGAAGGATCATTCTTCACGACGGCAATTATAAATTAATCGTTAGCTATTTTCTCAAACCAATTAAAATCACGCAAGGATCATGTAACCTTTTTGTGGTCAAAGTCTTTTAAGTTAGAGGTATGCAACAAGATTACTACATATGTCCGTTATCATAATCAACAACAAGTTTTTTGATATGGCTTAATTTCATATGTAACTCTTCGCAACGTTTTTTCATTTCTTTATACTTTTCATCCTATACAAAAAAGAAAAAAAAATTAAAAAATTTCAAAGCAACTACAAACGAGAAATAAATTTGTGAACACTTACTGCTTGCTGTTTGTTGTAGGAGTCAATTATTTCATTTTGAAGGCGCTAAAAGATCGTTGTGAGAATATAATCAAATAATTAAAAAAAAAACTTTTTTCAGCTTTTTTCAAAAAAAAATTTCAAAATTTTCTTTTATCAAAAAAAATTTTTAAAAACTTTTTTCAACTTTTTTCCAAAAAAAATCTTTTTTCAGCAGAATACGAACAAATAGAAGACTTACATAATATTCGTCAGAGCCTTTTTCTTGCCTCCTCCAAGAGCGGTCTAATTCAATAAACTTAGTTGTTATTGAATCACAATTTTTTTTTAATTCAATATACTCAGGATATTCAGCTTGAAAATCCCTCTTATATTGGCACCGCTGTTCATAAGTAATGATTGGTTTATAATTTCTAAAAAATAAAATTACTTTTACAATAATCACTTTTAATAATAGAGTAGAGCTTTATTTTATCATACAATAATGATAGTATGATATTTTGAGTAAACTATATGAAGAAAAAAAAAAAGAATGTTTTAATTTGGCTAAGAAACATCGCTCATTGCTTTTCATTGTTATTAGACTCATATTACTCGGTTAAATAAGAAAATTTTCATCGTTTTTCTATGAAATATAGTAATTTACAAAAAACTATTACTGGAGCCATGAAATAAGCCATGTACCCTATTTAAACTATTTGATCGTTAGAATGAACATAATAGTACTTCAATAAATGCTTTAAATGTGAAAGAACTTTACATATTTAAAGCAACCAAAATAAAAATATAAGTTCAAATTTGAAAGTCCAAATACATTATAAAATAGTAAACTCTTAGGTGCTTAATACACGGGAGAGGACGCTTATTAATTTTTCAAAATTTTCCCAATCCACCTTAAGCTCATTAACCATAATTATGAAATTATTATGTAACAGTAGTAGTTAAACAAATCGTAGGCCACACTAAAACTAAACTGTTTTATTCGTGTCTATAAAAAATTCCTACCTACCCTTTTATTAACCCCCCTACTTCTTTAAAAGATCTGGAATTAAATTACCACCTCCTTTTATTAACACCCAAGCCCTCTTCTATTAGGCACTCGAGATTAAGAACGATAAAATTTTGTTGATCGAAGAATTTAAAGTGTAAGCTTAATCGAATTAAAAAAACGTTGTGTTATATATTAGCGATGAGATAATTTAACAATCTAACCTTACGATGAAAATTTCAATATATTTCCAACAAAATAAGAAGTTGATGCACTTTGTTTCAAAACTGTTACACTATGTTATCTGAGTATGAAACTTTAAAAACATAGTGTAAACATAAACATCTGTTATGAAACTTTAAAAACATAGTTCTTAAATAATTTTATTTTAAAAGTAATTATAGTATAACTAATAGACCCTTAACAGCACAATACACATGAATATATAAGTCCATATTACCACACTGACTACATTTTAAATTTCAATGAAACTAAGCATCTTTTGGTCTTCTAACTAAATGGACCTAATCAATAAGCAATTATATTTCTGATAAACCATTTTTATACATCATGTTTTGTTTATATTATGTTTTTTTTCTGATTTTTAAGTCTTTTTATTTATGAAGGTTAGGATTCAAGATGAAAATCTCTGTTTAAATGTGCAGTGGGTTGCCAAATTAATATGGACAGTAACAAAATCTACAAAAAAACTGAAAATTTGAATGGTTTTTACAACAAAAATATAATAATTTCTAGATATTTTCTTGCCAAATTTTGACTATAGGTAATGACAATAACTAAATTATTCAGTTTATATATTTATTTTATTAAATGTCAGAATTAAATGTCTTATATTTTATTAAATGATTTTTATTTTTTAGTTTAAATTCTCATTTATCGAATTTCATAAATTTTAATGAAATTATTTTTATTTTTGCCTATTTTTACATTGATATTTTGTATATTTCATCAGTTATAGATTTATTAGGCAATATCACAGATATTTTCGACTTTTTTGTGAATTAAGGTTATCATGTGGGAAAACGTGGAAGAAAACGAGTAACTACGTCTAGCAGCAATGGAAAAATTAACGACGTGTCTCCAAAGCAGCAAAAGCTTTTTACGGCAATGATTATTAAACAAAGGATAGATGTATCTTAATAAGGGATAAATGTATATTACCAGTCCAGAGGCAGCTTTGTGAGGAAAGTGTAACTGGTCATAGACCAACAACAAAATAATAATAATAATAATAATAATAATAATAATAATAATAATAACTGAAGCCATGAAGAAAAACCGATTAGAATGAGCTTTAGCTCACAAAAAAGTTTTTATCTTTAACTCCTGAATGGATCCTCACTGACAAAGAATGGATTTTCATGGCTCCTTGTCATAAAGCACAAAGCATAACATTGTTTCTGGGTGAGCAAAATATAAAAACTTTGCCATGGTAATTTCCCAGATTTATTCTGATTAAAAATCTGTGGGATTTGGCCAAAGAATTGATTACCAATAAAAGACAATAGATTGGTTTTACAAATAAAAGGCAATTAAAAAGGTTGTTCAAGTTCATTGTGAAGAAATAAAAAAAACAATGCAAAAATATGCATAAAATGCATGCCACGGCATATCGAAGCAGTGATTGCCGCTAAAAGCAGTATCGCAAAATATTAATATTTTTTTTTTTACCATTTTTCATAACATATATAAATATATTTTTTGATCACTGGTCTCAACACTTCTATTTCTGGAAAAAGAGGTAGATACTAATGAAATTCGATTAGAGTGCCTATCAAAGGGGTTGAAATTATTAAGATATGACGGATTGACATTATTAATGTGCAACTCATGCAAGCACCAAGAAACGTTGTTGTTAAAAATTTTAACAACAATGGCAAAATCATCATCATCATCATCATCATCATCATCATCATCATCATCATCATCATCATCATCATCATCATCATCATCATCATCATCATCATCATCAGGCTTTAGCCTTCCTCTTTTATGCTGTTTCTCTAATCATGGTCAATGCTAAAACGAGCTATCATCTTTATTAAAATAAACTGAAACTCATTACTTGGCTACTTATTTAACAAGTTGCATTCTTTTACTGAATCTGTTCCTTTATGTTATCAAAATTTTAATTAGTCCAGTTTTTTTTCTTACACGTTATAAAAGCCTTATCAATCTTTATGTTTTTCTTTTTTATACAAACTACACTTTTCAAGTCTTCAGTTAACCATTTCCTGGCTTTTTAACCTATCCTCTATTATATAAGTAACTCATAATTTAATGGTAATAATAAATATAAGCCAGTATTTAATACACAGTAAATGTAAGTATAAAATTATAATATGTAAAGAATTATTAATTTTCTTGTAGTCCCGGCTATCAATCCCTGCTAAATCTTATAATTTTGCAGGGGCCGGGTTTGAAAAAAGTCTCATTTTTAGATAGGGCAGAGGCCCCGAACACTTTCTACTTACAAATAATGACTTGAAAAATAGTAAAAACTTATTTTGAGTTTTAACAGAACTATTGTATTGTCGTAAACAAATTTCACCCCTAAAAAAGTGGAGAGCAATTATAGTACATGTTATGTATGGAAATAATTTAAAAAAAAATCTATACACTAAATGTTCCGGTGTTTCTGATGTTGAAGCAACTGTTGGAGGTGACTCCTCTTCATAAGATGGCTTCTTGTTTTCTTTTAAAGACTCTGTTTTTCTAACTTTTGCGCTATTATGTAATGGGGATGAGGAAGATGTTGAAGAAGGCTCTTCATTGCCAAAACTTTTTATATTTTTACTATCAAGTGTAGAGTTTACATCTAAAGCTCTTTTTAAGCTGTTAACCTGCGTATATTAAAAAAAAACTTGTGTAAAAAAATTAATTAAATATTTTAACTACTTAGTAACACAACACTAAAAACATTAGAATCTTAACAAAAGCAAAATATGACTAACCTTAACTTCAGGTGACTTAGAAGTTGAGGTTACCATTTGTGGTGATAAAGCTGAATTTCCCTTTTGCATCGAAATATTTCTTTTAAAAACAAGTATAACCCATAACAAATTAAAACTCATCAACATAATTCATATTAACTTTAAAAATCTTTATTTAAATCTTCATTTATAATCATACATTTTTAAGCAACAACTTTTACAAACCTTTTAACAATTAAGCGTTCGCTATCGGTGTAGTATGGCCAAGAATCAACCTAGATATAGAAACCTTTAAAAAACGTTGTTTCTTGTAGTATATGAAATGAAATTTCATATAATAACAAATACTTAATTAAACTATTCAAAGATGCAGTTCACTCTTTGGCAGATATTTTCAATGTAACAAATAAATATGGTTAGGGAAAAAAAGATTTATTTTTTAAAACATTCAAGATATTTTGTTTCCGTAACTTTCATTTAGCAGTTAAAAAAACTTAAAATAATTTGAAAATAGATGCAAATGATAACTAAACTTAAAGTATATTGCTCATATTCAGATAATCATTCACAACACCTTTCTCTTAACTATAACATATTTGTATATCACATGATTAGTAAATTCAACACACTCAAACAAACACATAAAACATTAAAAGCACATTTAGATCAGCAATTTGAAGTCATACTGATTTATAAAGCTGTAAGGGATTCAGTAAAAACTCAACTGATTTAAAGAGAGCATGCATGCAAGAGTGTTGCTGCTACACTGATTCAGAGTTTGGATTAGAAAGATTGATTCAAAGTTTGGCAGAAAAAAAAAAATTATTCATAACTTTTTTTCTTTTTTAAAAAACCGAATAGAAAAAAAGTCAACATTTTTGGAAAATGTATATCTATATACGCTATAGCAGAGATATATGTATATAAAGGGTGGCCCATAAGTCACTTTACATATTAAAAATTAAATAACTTTTTCTTAAACGACTGTATTTAATTAATTCTTTTTTTATTACAAAGTTTAGAGTCTGTAAATTAGCTCTGAGTCTCTTAAATAGCCTCCATTCTCGTCTTCACAAAGTTGAGCTCTTTTTAAGCTAATCTCCATGACACTTCTTAACATCTGAGGTTGTAAGGAAAGAACTTCTTGTTTTATGTTTGCCTTAAGATCTTGAACAGTTCAAGGCTTATTTGCATACAATTTGTCTTTAAGATATCCCCAAAGCCAAAAGTCTGGTGCTGTCAAATCAGAAGAACGTGGGGGCCATTCAAAATCGGATTTAAGAGAGATTATCCAATCCTGAAACATTGCAATTAACAATTATATTGTGGCTCTAGCGGTATGTGCAGTTGCTCTATCTTGTTGCCACCAATACCCTGCCATGTTTGCTAATTGAGGTTAAACAAAATTGGCTAGCATGTCTCAATATTTCTCAGCAGTTACAGTCACAGCATTTTCATTTACATCTTCAAAGAAGAAGGGGCCAATAACCCTTTCTGATATTACTCCACACCATGTTGTGACTTTAACCGGGTGTAATAGACTCGCATAAAATTGGTCTGGATTTTCGGTGCCCCAGAATTTGATATTCTGCTTATTCACAATTCCATTCAAATGGAAATGAGCTTTATCTCCCATGATTAACTTGTGAATAAATTCATTGTCATTTCTTGCAGTTCTCTGAAACCTGACAGCATAATTTAGTCATTTCTGAAAGTCTGGTGGTTGTAACAATTGCACTAATCGAATCTTGTAAGGGTACATGTGCAAGTCTCTTTGAATGCACTGCAGAGAACTCCATGAGATGCCAAATTCTTGAGAGTGCCTTCGAGTGGATGTGGTTAGGTTCTCTTCAATGCTACGGCTCGCAGCTTCAGTATTTTCACATGTACGTGCTGAACAACCTCGTCCACTTCTAGTCCTATCACTTACAGAGCCATGTTCTTGAAAACGCGTCACTAAGTTCATTATTGCAGGCCTACTAGGGGGATGTCGAACATTAAAATGGCGCATATACAATCTTTGCGTTGCAACAATTAACCGTCCATTTTCAAAGTAAAATTCAATTATCTTCACTCGTAGTTCCAATGTAAACTTATCCATTCTAAAAATTTCCAAAGATTATATTTTTTAATTCTGAAAAGAGAAATAGAAATATATTAATAGAAAAAAAGTTATTTAACTTTTAAAATGTAAAGTGACTTATGGGCCACCCTATATATATATATATATATATATATATATATATATATATATATATATATATATATATATATATATATATATATATATATATATATATATATATATATATATATATATATATATATATATATATATATATATATATATATATATATATATATATATATATATATATATATATATATATATATATATATATATATATATATATATATATATATATATATATATATATATATATAATATATATATATATAAATTACGCACGCAAGTATGGGGAGGGGGTCACTCAAAAGCATACCAGTGCATACAAAGATAAGGATGGACGATCTTTTGTTTGGATTTTTTTTCATGTGAAGTTTGGGAAATCAGACAAAAAAAACTTTGATTTTTTAGTTAATGCATTTGTCTATCTACCAGAAAAAATGTTACTGCGACTTTGATATTAGATAAAAACAATGAAATACTGCCATTTACTAAAAGAAGACTACATAACTTTGTTTCCTTTTTGGAGTTGAATTAACTTGCTTGATTGCGGGCATTTTAAACAACAGAAACGATTAAATTTATTTTAAAATAAATAATAGTAAAAAAAATTTATTAAAAAAAAGATTAAGAATATTTCTTTTATTTACAAAAGATGTATAAAAAATTAAAAACAATAAAGCAAAAGAATCATGCGTTTTTACAAAATCTTGCCGATTACAACTTTTGATTTTTCAAAATTCAATCAAGTTTTAATTTTTTAATTTAAATTTTCTATTCTCTTTGGGACGAAATGTTTTGAAAACAGTAATTATTTCATTTTATCTGTTAGCAATGACTTCATAACTTTTCATTCATAGTTTGTACAAAATAGAAAACTGCTTTCTAATTTAAACTGAATGCGCCATTTAAATGTTATCAAGTGAATAATACTTTATATACCCGATTATATACTTAACTAATATATAATAAACTTATACTAATATAATATATATTAGTGTAGGTATATATATGCTCATACAAATATAATATATAAATTACTTATAGACTGACGTATATTTCAAGAAATACCTTTGTGCAACTGGTGACATAACATTTTTTCTATTGTTGTTTGGGGGCACGCTTCCAAAAGTTTCAATTCAAATTCATATCACAAATATATTTGCTATGCGTATTGTTTAAAACATTTAAAACTAAAACATATTTTTAATTTCAAGTTGTGTTTAGCTTTAACTTTTTAATAAATAGACTTTATTATAAACTCAACTGATTTAAAGATACCAGTGAAAATATTTAGTTTTATATTAACTTACATTTGACAAAAAAATGTTTAATATTCCAACATTATTTAACATTTAAGTTAGAAATTTTCATTGAAGTGTTGCAAGTTTTGATATTTTATAACATGGACTTATGTGCAATTCAAAGTAAAAGTTCCAGTTAAGCAAGGACGTATTAATAGATGGACGTTTAACGTATTGTTTAAAAGCCAAGATATCCGCGCTATTCATTATTACAAATAACAATAGCAAAACAATAGCGAACTATTTTTAACTTGAGAATATTTTTACTTGATTATGCGTCAAAATAACGATAGTCTCGCCTAGCCTAAGAAATATTTAAACATTCCATAACACCTAAAAACTCTAAAAAGTTTTTAAATAAATAAAACCTTTTTATTATATGATCTATAAACTCAAGCGAAATCTTTAAATGGAAAAAAAAAGTTAATCACAGAAAAATATTAAAACAAAATTGTAAGAGAGACAAAATTTCCGACAAAAATGAGAAATTTAAATACTTAAAATAATAGTGAAAACTAAGTGTAGGGAATAGAGACCACAAGTAATCTATAGTTCAATTTATATATGATCTACAGTTTTAACTACAACATCTAGAATACTCGTTTCACTTTGCAGTATTCATTCTTGCAAACTAAATATCACTATTTTACAAAATATGATTTTTGACGTCTAAGTTTTATTTATAATAAGTTCTTATTAAAAAGCGCTCATGTATCAAATTTGACATTTTAAAACAGATGAGCTATTTCTGATTAATTAAAATGCATTAATTTTAAAAAAAAGTTAGAGTTTTGTAGGTAATTGCACTTTTTAAAAAAAGTAGTTAGAAAAGCGAAATTATCATAAGAACGTCGGTTTACTTTTATAAATTATTCAGAAAAGTGACGCTAAAAATTATAGATCGCATAGGTTTTTGTTTACTCGTGGCGCCTCAGATCGATAACAATGGGTTAAACATCCATCTATTACTACGTCCTTGAGTTAAGTAAAGTTTTTTGTCAAACAGACCCTAAAAAAATATACGAGTTAGCAAATGACTATATATATATATATATATATATATATATATATATATATATATATATATATATATATATATATATATATATATATATATATATATATATTAGATAAACATGCTATTTTTTCTTCTTTTTATGAAAAAACCAAATAGAGAAAAGTATATATATATATATATATACAGGGGCTATTCTAGACCGTTTTTGACAGCATCAACCATATTTGGGCGCAGCCCTAACTAAAATATGAGTCCTCTTTTTTTTACGTTTTTACAGCAAATATTTTCATTTTTAATCCAGCCAGATACTAACTTCAATTTTTGATTAAATTTTTTTTCCTAGAATAGGCCCTGATATACACTGTAGCAGATATCATGGCCTACGCAATACACGGCCTGATGTGTTGCATAAATAGGCTAAAAATTAGAAGGCCAGTTTTTTGCATTTCGGCACTGTTAGTTAATTTTTTTTTTTTAATTTAAGGAGATAGTGATTATAATGGTGAATAAATGTAGTTGTTAATTGTGGAACTGGCTACAAATCTAAAAAAAGTGAGTCTAGCTCTCTTTTTTTAAGTAAATTTGTATTTAGCTTTCCTAAAGATACTAATTTAGAAGAAAAATGGATAAAATTTATTAACAGAAAAAATTGGAAGCCAAGTAAACATTCAGTTATATGTTTGGATTATTTTAAACCAAAGTATTTAAAATATGGGAAACAAGTTACTTTAAGACATGAGTTAAACCCTTTTCCAACCATTTACC